AGTGGGAATGCCGGGTTTTTAAAACCTTGGCTCTTAACCTCTTACTTCCCTTGAGAGTCAAACAGCTTTCTTGGTTTTCTAGGTGGACCTAAACGTGTGGCTTCTCACATGGTATGGCAACATTTGTGTTTAAGTTCAGAAATTGTTAATAGATTTTTTTGGTTGTAAGCATTTGAACACCTGACCTGGCAAGGATGATGGAATGAAAAGGAAAGAACAGTAGTGTATATTACCAGAAAACTCAAACCTAAAAAAACACATCATAATGGTCTTCCCTGCCAATATAATGACATTATATACACTATTTCATAGTGCTCCACAGAAAAGCAGCTTTGAGAAATTTTTAAGCCACAGATAATCACATCTGATAAAGTTGGAAACATGAGGTAAAACAAATCTAATTTAAACCCAGGGAAACTTGCTAAGTAGGACCCTGAGTTTCTGGGACAGATTCCTTCCCCAGCCTTGAGGGGGACTGGCAGAGAGCTAATCTTGTCCCCAGCCCAGGCCTGCCTACCTTGGAGGTAGGGGACCTAAGGTCTGTATAGGCCAGGTGTGAGCTACAAGACATCATCCTTCACAGAGTCAAGGCTCTTCTAAACACTGCACTCACAGTCACAGTGGCCCACCTTTCATATAGTCCTGGGCCCAAGGCACGTCACTTCATTTAGACTTGGACATGCTTGGTTAGGGATAGGGTTGGAAAAGAGCTCCATGTTCCTCAGTTCCGGCTGGAGAGTAAATGACCAATTTCTGGACTGGGATCCCCCAAACTCCTTGGGTTTAACCTTCCCTTCCCTACATTCCTGGTAATTTTCCACACAGGCTGGGTGTGGCCATGACTCAGTTGTGGTGAGGATGTGGCTGTCCAATGGGGAGGAGCCTTCTGCCTTTCATTCTAGTGGGGAGAGGGAGAGGCATGTGGTGCTGAGTCATTGCTGCGTTACTTCCCAGCTTCTTACAGGATGATTCTGGATGGAGGTTTGGGGATATCTTGGCCTCTGGGACCAATCTTGGGGTGGGGAGAGCTTCATGGGTCACACAATTACCCTGAAGCCCTCCACCCTCCAGGAATGAGAGAAGACCAGCTCAATTCCTTGAAACAGCATCAGCCTCTCTGGAACTCAGGGTTTTCCACAAATTAAGGTTAGACCACTCTACTCCATCCCCGCATGGGGCCAGAGGTGCCACCCTTTAAGGTAAAGTGTTGCCTACAAAAATGATTTTACCTGGAAGAGGACCCAGTCCCCTTAGTCCTAGCTGTCTTTTGTGTCAGGTAACTGGCAGCCAGTGTGCCAAGAAAGACACATGGGTGGAGGGCATGTCTAAGGAAAAAGCAGACTTTAAACTGCAGCAGGACTTAAGGGGGGCATTGATCACTGTTCATTGAGGTCTTCCCTGGTTTCTAAATCTTTACTGACTTTCCCATCTCATCCCACACCTCGGGTGTCAGGATCCTTCAGTATGCCCTCTCTTGGGATGAAAGTGACAGTGTACCCAGACAGATTATTTTGGCAGATGGTGTCTGTTTACAATTCTCTTGCATTCTAGGCAGCCAGAGCTGGGGGAAAGGAGAGCTCAGGGAGTGGCTTGCTTGCTAGGATTAAACCACTGAGGGCTTTTTCCAGTGAGCCCTAGCAGTTCTGAGCTAGAGAAAGACTGTTGAAGGTTATATCGGGTGACAGGGTCACCTTGGCTGAGGGAATACTTCATGAAGTGAGTAAGACTTCCCTCTTGCTGCTGCTGAGGCATTTTCATTTTGCAAGAGCCTAGGAAAACCTGGATACAAATTGCATTCAGAAAACTTCGTTTCCTGAAAACTGAATATCCCCCTCCCTGCAGTGGCCCTCTCATACCCATCCCTACCCTACTCTACCTTCCATATGAGGCTCAGATTCTTCTCTATGAAGCCTTCCCTTTTTTTTGGTACTAGGGCTTGAACTCAGGGCCTTCACCTTGAGCCACTCCACCCACCAGTCCTCTTTTGTTTTTGTTTTGTTTTGTTTTGTTTTGTTTTTGAGATAGGGTCTAATGAACTATTTGCCCAGGATGGCTTTGAACCACCATCTTCCTGATCATCTGATCTGTTTCCTGAGAAGCTAGGATTTCACGGGTGTGAGCCACTGGCACCCAGCAAAGCCTTTCCTTTACTACACAGGCAGCCTGTTTCCTCTTTATCCCCAACTCCAAAAGGTCCAATGGCCTTCCTTCCAGGGTTTGTCTGGGGAAGCTTTGCCATGCCACCCTAGTAGGCCTGAAGAGATTTAGAAGTCTGAGGAAGGCATGGAATAATTTTTAAATCACCTGGTCTAGCTCTAGAAGGGGCACACATCCAAGACCTGTGGGCTATCCTGTCAGCCTTGTATTGTCCTCAGAGAAATAACAGTGCTGAGTCAAACAGAGACCAAGATGCTTCATAAACTTGTCTTTGGGCTCCAGTATGGTTTTTACACACACACACACACACACACACACACACACACACCCTGCCAACCCCTCTCCCCCAGGATTCCCATTAAACTTAAACCTTTAAACTCCAAATTCTGTGGTTCTGTAGCCAAGAATTGGAATAAAACAGTAACATAAACCTCCAGTCCAGTGAACCTAGCAGCTTCTGCTCCAATCCTGACCAGGTCAGCACAGTGGAATGGCTCCCTTTAAGAAGGGCCTGAGTCCTTCAGCAACCCTGGTTTTCTGTACCTCTGGAGCAGTTACTGGGTAAAAGTGAAGATTAAAAGGATGGCTCAAAGAAGGACCAGCTTGATTTCAAAAAGATGTTCTGGCACTGTTCACCAGGATAACCTTTAAAGACAAGTCAATTTTCAAAGGAAGAAGATGCCTACTGGGCACTATATTGGACTAACTGAAATAATCATCCCATCAAACCCCATTTTGTGAAACAGAAATTTTTTTAACCCCTGTTATAGTGCTGGGGATTGAATTGAAGGCTTTGAGCATGCTAGGAAAGCTATCCACCACTTGAGCCCAGCTCCGCCCCTTGGTTTTGGTTTGTTTGGTGGTACTGACTGGGGATTGAACTCAGAGTCTTGTACTTGCTAGGCAGGCGCTTTACCATTTGAGCCACCCCTCCAAACCTCACTAACTTAGCCTGGGCTGGTCCAGAACTCAAGATTCACCTGCTTCTACCTCACAAGTAGCTGGAACTATAGGCATGAATCACCACCCAGCTCTCACTTCACTTTCACGGAACTGGACTCCATGTTAAATTGCAGGCTAGTGCATAGAATTACGCCAAAGATAAGATAAACACAATTTATCTATATTGTGCTGGCTTCTTAGCAAAACTAAGACAATGACATTTATAACTGTGACACATTTCACTGTGCACCTAATGTGAACAAGGATATGCTGGTTGAGTCTGCCACTGACTTGTCAGTGTTTTTATAACTATCATAGATTATCAAAATCTGCAACTGAAGGAGAGTTTGACACGTGCATGTCAATCATGGCAACATATCTACATTTTCTTTTTTCCTTTGAGACAGGGTCTTGCTTGTAAACCCAAGCTGATCTTGAACTCACGATCTTCCTGCCTCAGCCTCCTGAGATTACAGGTATGATTTAGAACTTCGAAATGCAACATAGCCCTGACAAGACTGTTGCATCTGTGTTGTTCACCACTGTTCTTCGTTTTTCTCAGCCCTCTTTTCTCTGGACTGGACTGGGGTTCTGCGAGGGTGTGGCTATTTCCTTTCATCTTCATGTTCTCTCATCCTGATCATAATAACCAAGTATTTACTTCCTACCCACAACTAAAGGGACCAGAAAGGGCTAATAGAATAAATGAAAAGACTTTGACTGCAAACCAGCTTACTTTTAGGGTGTCACTTTCTCTTCCCAGTTTATCTGCATTAACAGGAAGTGGAATGAAGGCCTGTGATTCAGCTGCAAGCAGGATGTCTGCCTGAGCCGGTACACCCATTGGTCTCATTTTCTAGGAAAAGGACCTAGATGAACAGTGCTCGCTTTTCGAATGCAGCAACATTGTATCTGCTCACAAAACTTGGCTGAATGAAGGCAAGTTAACAGCTGTCTGACTGGTAACTGCTCTCATCACTGCTTGTTGAGACCACAATTGGCAAATTCGAGAATGCTTTGTAGAAAAACATCACAGAAAGCTCCAATAATATAGATTTAAAAACACGAATGGGTTGAAAGCAGAAGTGCTGACTTCTACACAGATTACTAGCGCTAACATTCTTCCTCAATATTTCCTGATGGTCAGTTCCGCAGTAATGTTCTACTCTGAGGCACTTGCTCTGCAGGATTCCTAACCCTACAGAGCATATTCACATGGCCCCAACCTGCCCTTCCTCGTTCGGGCTCCAGACGCTCCGCTCTCCCTAGGTCTGCTTCACCTCATCCCAGTGCTGGGACCACCCGCCCTCCCCAGGTCTTCCTAGACCTCCGATCATCCTCCACTCCTAGCTGCCCCAGCTCCCCCTGCGGCTCAGCCTCCGAGGGGGCTGTGGGGCGAGCTCCCGGTGGTTGGGGAGTTGCAGGGCGGGGCTGGAGGAACGCTGCCGGGGGACCTATAAATCTGGGCGCATTCCGGGTAGGCCAGGGCATCTGGGGCAACCTGGGCAGAAGGCCAAGACAAGAGCCCCAGTCCAGCCATCCCAGTCAGGCAGCAACAGGTGGCCGGGGCGCCCGGGGGTCTGGGAGGTAGGTGTCCGGTGCTCCGGAGGGCGGGTCCTGCCGCCTTGCCACTTCCCCATTGGCCATCGGAGCATGACATCCCTGCGATTTTGATTTAGTGTGTCCTTCCGCCACGAAATATAGTCCTCCCCAAAAGGGCAACCTGCCCGTCCCGCCTCCGCGGCCCTCGCTTGGGAAGGGCCTGCGCCCCGCAAGGCGCAGGGGGCGGGGCTTCGGAGTCCGGGCGCCGGGATTGGGCGGGAGGCGGGGCTGCGGAGGGATTGCGCGGCTCCGCAGCGGGATAACCTTGAGGCCGGGCCCGGGTTCCCGCACAGGAGCTGCGCGTCCCCAGCGTCCTGACCTCTCCGTCTTTGCAGCGCAGTGCGATCCGGAGCACGCCGGAGGTGAGCGGAGTGACAGCCTGGGCATCGGTCCCCATCCAAGGTCTGTCCGCCTGGCTGCAGCGGAACCCAGGCGGGGGCCGGCGCAGCACCCTGGGCACCTTGGACGGGTCGGGGGTGGGTGAGAAGGAAGGCTGGCACCCAGGATCTGCGCCTCAAAGCCCCCGCTCCTGTTCCGAAGCCAGACGGGTCAGGCAGGCCCTTTCCTACCCCTCGTTCTGCTCCCATTCTCTCCTCCCCGGTCTTTATTCCTCCTCCAGTTTTTCCATCTTTGCCCCCACCGCTCTGCACTCTCCTGCAAACTAGTCCTCTCGCCCCTTCATCTTCAGACTCTTGTCCCCCGCTTCTGATGCTTTCCTTGTGACCTCTCCTCGAAGCAACCCCGCTGGTTCCCCTCCCCGGTCCATCTTCGGTCCCCGCCGGTCTGCTCTTCCCGCGCCTCGACCCCCTCCTCGTGCGCGCCCCTCCCCCTCCATTCTGGTCACGTCCGCTCCTCCGCATCCCCGTCCCCGTCTTTCAAGCTGCCTGGTCTTAGCTCCTCCCCTCCGTTCAGGTCACGTCCCGCCCCCGCCGCCCCCCTCCCCACTTCTAGTCACGTCCGCCCGGCTCTCCCCTGGTTTCGGGTTGCGGTCCTCTGCGGCTTCTCCATCACTGCAGCAGCGGGCACGCAATAGGCCACCTCCCAAAGGACAGTGATCAGCGGATGGGCAGGGCTGAGTCTCCCGGGCAGCCAGGGAGGATGCAGCAACGGCCCTACACGCGGCGGCGGCTTACGTAACCTGGGTCTGTCGGCTGCTGGGGAAGAAAGGGTGGCTGCCCTTGCGGCGCGTTCCGGTTTCGGGCCGCCGCAGATTGCTCGGGTGGCCTCCAGCCCTGGCCGGGCCCTGCAGGGTGGCCGTGCCGCTGCGCGCTTGAGAATTCACGCGCTCCATCCTGCGGCGGCGGGGCCGCACGTAGTGGACCGCGCCCGCCCCACCCCGCCCCGCCGTCCTCCGCTCTGCGCCCGGAAAGTGGAACGCCCAGGCCTGGGGTGGGGGCAAGTTATGGGGAGCGCAGGCGATCTGACTTTTTCACTCAGAAGCTCTGGGCATCGGCGGGGTGGGGGTGGGGGGCGGCTGGAGACTGGCCTGACCAGAATGGTTAGAGCACGCCGAACGCACAATCTAATTGGGGAAACCTTGAATTCATCACTGGTATGAGGAAGCTACGAGCTTCCTGCTGGAGGGAGGGAGGGCGATGGGGCCTCACCAGGTGGCAAGCACGCTGGGTTTGAAGGAGCAGGAAAGCACCTCCCAGTCAGAAGGAAGATGTCCCTCTGCTGCTTAATCCAGCAGTCTCATACCCGAGACACTGATCCTCCTCTGTGGGTAAAGTGAGCCTGGTGGATGGAGCATCTGGGATAAGCAGGCTTTTAGGATCACGTGTAACTCATTAATGTACTGAGCCGACTGACTGAAGGGAATTGAGCTTTTGGTCAGTTTGTGAAAACGGAGTCACAATTTCCTGTAGATTGTTGAAAGGACAGGTCCCCGTGCACGTGCATGTAAAATACAGCGCCGAATCTCTGTAAGATGTCCAGAAGAACTCCCTCTTCCATACACATATCCCTTTGGTCACTGAACGGAAAACTCAACCCATAACTGAGCTGGGTAGAGGTCCGGAACTTCTCCCAGCTATCCCCACGCACGTGCAGTTAATCTGAGACTCAGGCTTTCCACATACCAAGTTATCTCCTGGAAACCTTCCCGCAGGGATCCTGGTGCAGCGTTTACAAAGAAACTAGTGATGCTACTCTTTGCAACTCGCCTTGCTACTGCTCTCTGGTCTCTTGAGAAAGGAAGATAAAGGAAGAGCTGGGTCAGCCTTCCCTGTTTCACTAAGGGGTAGAAACAAAGTTGCACCGTACCAAGAGCGAAATGTTCTCCTCCAAGCCCCTGACTGCTCCCGATGGGCTTCTATGGCTTGTTCCCATCCTGTAGGATTGGTGGCGGGGTGTGGCCACTTCCTAGGGCACTAAGGAGGACCTAGGCTGTTACTCCTGGGACAGCATTGTTAGCAAATAATTTGCCCTCTGGTGGCCTGAGGATGCCCTGGGCTGTGCTGTGGGGAGGGTAGTAAATCATCGCCATCGTTGGGGTAGGGGGAGGGCTCGCGGACAGGATGACTCAGCCTCTCAACTTAGCTGCTTTTGAGCAAATTCTCATCCTTGGGTGAGTGGGGAAACTGCACTGTGGTTTTTGCAGCCTTAAAAAGTCCCCTCTCCTCTTTCAGTGAGTCAAATAATGAAATGGCATGCTTTTCCCCAATTAAAAGTGTCTTTCCGGCTGGCAGAGGGGCTCAAGCAGCAGAGTACTTCCCTAGCAAGTGCGAGGCCTTGAGTTCAAACTCTAGTAAAGTCTCAATTAAATGCGAAATGGTTGGTCCCGGTTAGCAGCCTAAGAGCTACAGTGCTCAGGTACTGCAGTACCTCTTCCTGTCTTCTGTCGCGAGTATGGTGGCTTCCATGGGACGGGAATGACGATTTCTGTGAACTCACTTCTGAGTTATTGTACTTACATGGTCGTTAGTCCTATCTGGCATAGCTACTTTCATTTTAAGGATTACATTAGAGATAAAATTCTGTCTTGAATTCATAGTTTTACAGAAAGCATTTGAAGCTGCATCTCTGGGGATTTGGCTCATTGGACTCCTGGGAGTTGCTGTTGTGCCCTGAATACTGGACAGTAAGGTGGGGTCACAGGGAAAAAACACCATTTTATTTTTTCAAGCTGTTAATTTCTTAATGTTGAGGCAGTGGAAAGAAATGAGGAAACAGCCAGGGGCAGGAAGGTAGAAAAAAAATGCAGCTCTTGCTTTACAAACTCACATTATTCGGTTTATTTTCCTTCTGCTTTTATGAAGCAAGTCAGGATGTGTTGTGTTGGCCAAGAGCTAAGAACAAGAGAAGGTAGAGGAAAATGACTCATTTGACATTAACTTCATTCTGAATCACTCCAAATACCCTCAGTGAAATCCTAGTTAACTGGTATACCACAAGAATGAGTTGCCCCTGTGAGCAGTTTTACTGCAACTTTGTTGAGGGTCTTTGTGGAACATTTTATGGGGTGTCTTTCTTTTTGAGGGGGAGGAAAGGTCACACAAGGTTGAATCACTCTAGGCATCACTTCCAGCACAAAGAGGAACAGAGCTCAATCAGAGTATGTGAAGACCATTTTATACACTGAACTTTCTGGGAGCTTGAATTTTTTTTCACCAAGAGCCAGACTTGGGCTGGATGATTTGAGTGGCCTGATTACTTAGGGCCTCGTTAAAGAAGCTGTTTGGGGGAAGTGAACATGGTGGTTGGTGGTGTGTGATCCCTGCTGGTTCTCATGGCCTCCTTGTGTGGCTGCTCAGCTCAGGAGCAGGGGCTCTGGTAGGGCCACCAAGCTGCACTGAGGCCACACCCCACAGTGGTTTGTGCCTGTCTGCACGTAGGAGGGAGAAGGAGAGCCTGGCTGCAGTACCTCTGGTGGCCTCTGAGACTCCCCCTCCCCACTTCTGTCCATCAGCAAACCTCCTGGGGAGCTCAGAGCCTCTTTCCTGATGCCAGCAAGCAGTGTTTGGAAGACTGGCTGGGTTGTGGTAAGGGAGCTGCCAAGATCAGCTATATATTAGGGCAGTGAGGTTGCCATCCAGCCTTCAAGAGTGTGGGCTCTGTAGTCAAAAAAAAATTCTCTGAACCCCATCCCTTCCAAACATCTTCAATCAATCTACATACAGATCATTCTCCTTCAACTTTAAACAACTGGTGTCTCCAGCAATGAGTGCAGAGATTGGCCCCATGTGCAGGGTCAGCCCTGGCACACTGGACACATGGGACTTGTTTTGGAGGAGCCCAGGAGATTTGATTGAAGAGGTAGGGGAGCTCAGTCTGGGCAGATTTAAAACTATCTCTATATTCCCTTTTTGGTTATTAATATCAGAGAGCAGACTAATAAGTGTCACCCATCAGCTGGGCAAACATTTAAGGAGTCTGACAATATCAAGTCCTGACAAAGAAGTGGGAAGGCAGCAACCCGAGTTATTGGATGGTTAATAAAACCACTGTGAAGAACAATCCATAGTGGTTAGTAGAATCAAAATACACATGCCCCATGCCCGAGAATTTCATTTCTGGATACATAGAAGCTCACCTGTGCACAAGAGGCATGTATTAGAGTTATTAGTAATCAATAATAGGAGGAAGTAGGTTTAATGGAGTTTGCCATATGTAAATTAATAAGGCCCTTGTATGGTGGTTCCAGTGAATTAACCAGATCCATATGTCAGCTGGATGGATCTTAAATGTGCTGAGCTAACAAGCAAGGTACTCAATGGTGTCTACAGTACACTACTTAGGGTATTAAAAATAGCCAGCTGGCAGAGTAGCTCAAGTGCTAGAGTGCCTGCCTAGCAAGCATGGGGCCCTGAGTTCAAACCCCAATATCGCAAAAAACAAAACAAACAAACAAAAAAACGTGATTCACACCTGTGATCCTAGTTGTTCAGGAGGCAGAGATCAGGAAGATCACAGTTTGAAGCCAGCCCCAGGCAAATCGTTCAGGAGACCCTATCTTGAAAATGAGCAGAGTGGCTCAAGTGGTACAGTACCTGCTTAGCAAGCGTGAAGCCCTAAGCTCAAACCCCAGTGCTGCCCCCTCCCCCCAAAAATAGCCAACGTACATGCACTGTACATAGACTTAAATGAGCTAGAAGTATACAAAATTCTTGATAAGCAGTAGGGAGGCAAAGGGTGGGAGGGCTTGGAAGAGCCTGGGGATGGAGGAAAAATGAACTGTGTAAAACTAATTCTTGTTTTATTTTTTATAAAGTCTAAAAGTATAGCTCAGTGCTGATGTTCTGGGTGGTAGAAACAGATTTTTTATTTCTTTAATTCAAAAAATAAAAAATAGACACAAACCTATAAAGACTGTTAGAAATAAGTCTTTCTGGACAGCTGGTACTGCTTCTCCTACCCCCACCCCCCACCCTGGTGCAGCGTGCAGGGCAGCTCCTCTTAACGCCTCACCAGGACCTTGCTCTGTAGAAGCCATCACTGCCCACCCTGACTGCACTTACTTGGCCAGGCCCCTTGCGGCTTCCAAGGTGTGACTGTCTTGCTTAGAAGCCCTGCCCTACTGCTTAAACCTTCTAAGGGGGTGCCCTGTGCCAACACAACCAAAAGCTTCTCCTTCAGATAGACTTCCTCCTTCAGGCAGAAACCAGTTCTCTACCCGAGCATCCGGGACATCAGGGGTTCTCTAACTTCCTGCCCCAAAGTATAGGGAAGTATATTATTGATTGATTGATTGATTGATTGATTGATTGCAAGGGACCTGTCCCCACAAGTGAGCTCATGTTTTGCATACCCTGGTGACACCAGATTTTGCTGTCTGGTGCAGGGCCTGTAGGGATGGGGAGTAGTCTTCAGACTTGGAGCTCTTCACTAAAAGAATCTTACCATCTATGCCCCCCCATAGACAAGGGCACTGTTTTTACTCCTTAATTTTTGTTTTTTATTAGATTTTTGAGACAGGTTCTCACTATGTATCCCATGCTGGCTTTGAACTTGCAGACCTTTGCTGTCTTTACTCTTAACCGTGTATCGAGATGAACCACATCTGTTCCAGACCTTCCCTGGTTCTGCAGGCTGGACCTTCACACATTTGATGATGTTGCTGTAGTTTGGTTAGAGCCAGTCATGGAAATTTTTCCCTGTTCTACCTGGAGGTAGAGAGAAGGCTGACCTGCAGGTCACATCTTGACCAGCAAAGATGCTGGAGCTCTCACACCCTGGATATCAGTGAGGAACACAGTCTTTGGTACCCACCACAATGTTGGAGGGAGAAGGAGGCCATCAGGTCCTGTCATTACAGGATGGTGTCACTGGCACAGGGAGCCCTGCTATGGAAGCCTGGCTTATGCAGATGCAGGCTCCTGGGTCCAGATGATTTATTAGAGCAGAATGATTTGGACCTTTGTGAAAGATAATTGGTGGAGTGGAACGTGAATCTCTTCCAACACGACCTGTATTAGTGTTGGCACTAAATAGGATATTTTTTTTTAATGATTTTTGCTCCCTGGTTCTTGAGGAATGGCCAAAAAATTGTGTGTGTCACAAAGGAAACAAAGAGCCAGGAGCTGCCTGAGCTGAGGCAGGGAAGTTCAGATCGGGGCACATGGAGCTGAGGTGTGTTCCAGTCTGTCAGTCCAGACTAAGGCCTCAGACATATCTCATTCCTCACAGAGGAGACGTGGCTCTCGGGAAGATCCTTCTGCAAGCACTCAGGCCCAGGAGCAAAGCTCCTGTTCCCTGGCCTGGTGTTCGCTGCTGTCAGTGGACACACGGGGCTTCCACTGCTGGCTGGAGGTTGGCCCTGCATGTCTATGCCTCCCGAGGAGGAGGATGAAGTGAGTCAAGTTGGCATGGGTGGGGCCACATGTCCTGGCAGGCACTGTCATTGCAGCTGGCAGGTGAGAGGAGAGCCTTTCCCAGCCCAACCTAAGAAACCAAGGCCAAGGCCCTCTCCTAGAGCCAGGGGAGATTGCAGAGGGGTGGGGGGTTCTGCCTGTGACTCTAGGTAAGTGGTGGGTTGAGCTGTTCAACTTGTGCTGGGAGAAGAGTTTTTGTGGAGGACTTTGGAGAAAGGCAGGAAGGAGATCGAGGGTCCAGCTCAGAGCCTGAGGGAAGGAAGTTTGGAGACCTGCCATTTCTGGGTTGGTGGGGGCTTTAAGGACACTTGAGAGCTTGTTGAATGAAGTCTGACTTCAACCTTGTTGGCTGCTGAGGTACAAATCCACTTAGTGCCAAGCACATTCTCATTTTGCCATGTGTGTACTTAATAGCCAAAAATTAGATTCTGTAGACTTCAGAATTAGATTAGAATTAGATTGAACTGTAGATGGGGAGGGAGATGTGAGTTTAAGGCTGGTGTCAGTGTATCTGCTGATGGTATCTCCTAGCCCTGGAGGCCACCCTTCTCTGCCTCCTTGTCACAGCTGTGGAGCTTGAGCACACTAAGCAGGAAAAGATGTTGACTGACTGGGGCATGGCACTGAGGCTTTTTTTTGTTTGGCATGGAATGGGCCTGTCGACTACATTACTTTGAGGGGAGTGAGGTTTTGAGATTCTCAGTGGATCAAGGTTGACCTTCCTAAGCACAAAAGTATCATTAGTAATTTTATTAATTTTTTTGTCTGTAGTTTGGGCTGGAGGTGGGGCTCATGAGGTCCTGAGTTCAAACTCCAGGACCACCAAAACAAAAAAGGCCGTAATTATACACACCCAGACAACATGTGTAATGTTGCAAGGTTTTGGTAGTATATCACTCCCAGACCTTTTAGGTATTGGCTTTACTTTTGCGATCCTTTCACGAGAGAAGGAGGAACTAGATTGTTGCAGAAGTAGATAGTAAAGCGTTAGTAAATCACAGGTCTGAAGAGACCACAGGGAGAAGGAAAGTTGGGGTGTAGATAAAGCACCTTGGGTGAGCTAGTGAATGCTTACTTTTCACCTCCAAACTTTCTGCATTCCTTGGTATTTTCTTGGGGTGCTTCTATATTTTCTCCGTGACCTGGCTCAATCTCTACGAGTAGTGTCCACCTGGACACCCGGTTGTTAAGGTAATTTTTTCTGTTACTCCAGAGAGCATCAGTTACACTCAAGCTTTTACCTTAATCCTTGTTCAGCTCTCCAGGGCAAACCGTGCTCAGCTCTGAGCGGTCTTTCCAAGTGGGGTCAAGGAGCCACTCTCAACCCAAAAAACAGCATTATGTCACCAGAAGCCCAGAGAACCAAAGGTATGACCTCATAACCCGTGGCCCCGGCCTTAGGTCTGCCGAAGAGCCAGCTGATGGTTTTCCAGGCGCATTTCCATTCCATTCGGGCAGACCTTCCATACTTCCCAGTTCAGTCCTCGGGCTGGATGACGCTCTCCTGTTGAGGCCACAGGAAGGCCTTTGTGCCATCTCAACAGTGTTCCCTTAGCAGCCAGACCTGCCCCAGCCTGAGGGTTTATGAGCAATCCTTGAACCACGAATCTTGTTATGGGACCCTGGCTGCCTGGGCATCCTGTCTGTAGTTGAGAACTTCCTCAGATTTGGGGAAGGGGCAGAGGAGGTCTAGCTGATACTGGCAGAGGGGCTTCAGCAAGCACTGGGATGCCTTTGAGTCACTAAGTGCCAGGAGATGAAGATCCAAGTATGGTCCCGGAGGAGGACTGACGTTGGTCTTGGTACTGGTGTGTGTTATGGCACATGAGAATGAGAGGAGTGTGCCAGCTTCTTCCTTCCCCGTTTTAAACGTTCAGTTCTGAGGTTGAGGAGTAATAGGCATCTGTCTGCTCACTGCTGGTCACAGGGCTCCTTGGACCTTTCCCAGCCTTCCTAGAGAAGGCCAGGACAGGCTTAGGTGCTGCCCAGGGAAGCCACAGTTGGGGATGAAGTAAGGGTCCTTGATTTGGGACCCTGAGGTTTGGGAAGTGGCAGGGCAAGGCTTAGGAGGGGCATATTCCCAAGCCTGGGCTAAAGTCCTTAGGTATAGGGTTTTAGGAGGAGCCCTGGGACTGTGAACTTGGATAAGAAGGATTTTCAGCTTCTGCTCCATACCCTTCCTTGATAGTTCATCAGACACTGCCTGGAAGCTTCTCCTGAGTCTCTGTGCTCTAATCAGCTAGCTAACCAGCCCAGTGAGTTTAGTTGTAAGCCAGTAAGAAAGTAAAGCAAAGGTCAGGCCAGTTGTTGGAATTGTGACCTGGGCTGGTTAACTGCCTGGAACAGATCTCCTGCTACCGAGAATTATACCTGTCAGACGTAGAGAGGGGATCCAGGTGGTGAGTCAGAAGTCAAGTGGGAGCTGGGCACACCTGTAATCTTCGTACTCAGCAGGCTGAAGCAGGAGGATCGAGAGTTCAAGGCCAGCCTGGGCTACTTTGTGAGACCCTATCTCAAAAGCAAACCAGTTGAGAAGATTAATTTCCTTACATTACAACTGACTTATTAATGGAGCTGTAATAATTTTAGAGCCACACCAGTCCCATTGTGGTTACCCTCTGTTTGTGCAAATTGCTTGTGTATCCTAAAGTTCTGACTAAAATGTGATTGTTTCTGCTGCAGAATCCGGGGGTGAAAGATTTTTGCATTTAGGGTTCTGGTTGGACTTTGCTGCCGGGCCAGGCACTATTATTGCCTTGGACCTATTCTCATGCCCAGTAGGAGCTGAAGAATAACTCGGGGCATTTTGGATTAGTGAAAACTGTGTAATTCTGGGGCAGAGCTCCTTTCCACAATCGGGGGGATCCCAGCCCTTTAGGCTCGTGTGAGAATTTTAAAGAGGCAGTGCGGGTGCCTGCCAGCAAAGCACGTTTGTAGCTTTGAGACAACATGTCATTCAAAGAGCTAGACACCGAGGAACCAAGCGAGGAGTCAGTTGTCTGTGTCGCTGGAAGGCTGGTCACTTCCTTTTGCAAATGTTCCTTCTGTGCACGGAAAACTGTGTGATTTAGGGTTAGGGTGAGAACGCAGGGCTGGGTGGTGCTCAGTGGTAGACCCTTCCCTCGCATGTGCAAGGCCCCGAGTTTGCTTCTCAGTACTGTAAGAAAAAATTTGGTTTTTCCCTCCAGTTTGAGGGAAAGGGACCTGCTTGCACTGGGGCTCTGGGATGTCCGTGCATTGGGCAGAAGGTCTTAATTTGCTCCTTAAGGTCTTTCCCACTTCACTTTTGTTCCCAATTCGAGGAGCACCCACATAACCAGAGCCCCTGCTGCTTATGCACAAAGCCTACTTAGTGAGTTTATGTGTCAACTGACGTATTAAGCACTTCTTGATCTGATTACTCTCTTCAATTCCCTGGAGCCAGGTCCTCAGAAGCCATGCCAAAGCCCCACAGCGAAGCCGGGACCGCCTTCATCCAGACCCAACAGCTGCACGCAGCCATGGCCGACACATTTCTGGAGCACATGTGCCGCCTGGACATCGACTCGCCACCCATCACGGCCCGGAACACAGGCATCATCTGTACCATCGGTGCGTGGTGTGCCCCTGCCCCAAACACGCCAGTGGCCCGTTCTGTCCTGGAGAATCCAAATAAGTGCCCTGTGCTGCACAGATCCTCATGGGAACGGAGGTCATAGGAAAGTTGCCGTAAAGAGTTAATACTCTGTTTCTGTTAGAGAATTTTTGTAGGAGCATCTCAGACCTAGGGAAGATCTTCTTCACACGCTGTGTGCCACTGGGATTCCATGGTTGGCTGAGCTTCAGTGGAGGCAAAGATGGCTGACCAAGTCTTACCTAGGCTTTCCCTATTATACAGGAGTGTGCAGAATCTGAAGGCAATGGGAGGGGTGACCCCCAAAATCAAGAAAGCAGGCTAGCACACTTTTCAAAGATGTGTGCTATTTTGGGGAAGAAATGTTTAAGGGGGAAAAAAGATGAAGTTTTTTTTTTTTTTTAACTTGAGCAAAGCCCTTGGGTGTCTTCCTACACAGATATCATGCTTTAAAATGGTTTTTAACAGGCCCGGCCTCCCGCTCGGTGGAGACACTGAAGGAGATGATTAAATCTGGAATGAACGTGGCTCGACTGAACTTCTCTCACGGAACTCATGAGGTGAGTCAGCTGGTCAGCAGGGGCACTGCAGCGTTTATGGGGAATGGGAAGGGACCGAGGTGGAGCAGGCAAGGATGAGCCTGGAATAGGCTCCTGCGAATAGGACGTTGGCTTTACAAGCCCACCCCTGCTCTCCCTCCTCTGTCAGGAGCAAACAGGACCTGCTTTGTCACTGCTGAGGCCTCCCATACACCTGGGCTGCTGGAAACCCCTCTGCACTGTGGGTGTCCTGGCCACAGCACTCCATGCTCCTGCTCCAGGATTTCTGTTAAGGGCTCTTGTGGCTGAACGGTCATCCAGCGAATGGATTCTGTCTAGATCAGACCCACGGTGACTGGGCAGGTCTAGGACAAGGGTTCACACTGCTGCAAGTCAGGGAAGGAGTCTGTTGCACTGTCACCAATGGGCATACACGCCCCTCCATGAGCACCGTCCTCACTGCACCTTCCCGGGTGCTGGTGTTAGAATAACCAGTCAGCACACCTCTGCCTCCTTGGGAGCCCAGCGTAGAAATGGACCTGAGCAGGAGCCGTTTATTAGCTGGTCTGACCTGTGAACAGAGGCCTTATTCAGGGACCACCTGGCACCTGTTGGAAAAGCTCTGTTCTGAGCAGTGGGGGGTGGAGGGCTCCCTGAGATCTGCCTGTTTAAAACCTTCAGGCTTGACCATAGGTCTCCCAAGGACCACAGGGTCTCATACTGCATCCATGCAGGAGGGAAGCTCCCCCTCCCTTGTTCTCTGTGTCCCGTTCAGAAAATGCTACTCTGTAAGGTCAGGTGGTGAAGAGCTGCCCTCTGGCCTTTGGAAGTTGGTATTAAGTCTGGACTAAAAATACATCCCCAAGAACAGTAATCCAAGAAGTGAGTTCCTCCTTTCTGGAACATGAGACTTGTAAATTCTCTAACCCGTGTTCCTATGGCTGGGCAGGAGGCTGGCCCCTAAATGTCACTGGGGCCTGAGCTAGTACAGCAGGCAGATTAAGACACTCCCTGTCAGGTGTGGTGGTGATGCCTGTAATCCCGGGGATCGTGTGAGGCAAAACCCTGCCTAAGGGGGGTGGAGATATATATAATAATACCAACAGCAGTAAAGACACACCCTTGTTGAAGACATTCAAGTGTTAACTTAGCTCAAAGAGAGCACTAAGATTCAGCTCAGGCCAGGCGCCAGTGGCTCACACCTATAATCCTAGCTACCCAGGAGGAGGCAGAGATCAGGAGGATCTTGGTTCAAGCCAGCCTAGGCAGATAGTGAGACCCTATCTTGAAAAACCCCTCACAAAAATAGGGCTGGTGGAGTGGCTCACAGTGAAGGCCCTGAGTTCAAGCCCCAGTATCCCCCCAAAAAGAGAAAAGATTCAACACAGCATTGATCCTACTGCTGGGGAGCACAGTCCTCTGTGTGTAGGCAAAGGGCAGAAATAGATCTTGCAGCGCTGACCTTTAAGGAGGCTCTTCCATCAGTAAAATAACACCACGCAGCTCTACAGGGGCTGGCTCTGATTGGGTTTTGTTTTTTGTTTTTTTTTTTTTTTAACTCTAAGAAGCATTTGGAGATTATCTGTCCTTTAACTCTTATTTCTAGATTAGAATTGGGGTTTTTTGGTAAGTCCCTCTTAAGTTTATTTTCGTGTGTTAAGGCCGAGATGACGTTCTCCTGAGGTCAGAATGTTGGGAACTGTACTACGTTCTGATGAGCATGGTATCATTGATGTGAATGAACAGTTTTATCTGATGGCATTTAAGGGCTCTTATTTCATGAGCTCCTTCTGCCAGGGGCTCAGACATATAATTGAAATTGCTTTGTCTTGCTCTGACAGAGGGACCTGTGCTGGCTGCAGCCACTCTTGGCGCCTTTGGCTCAGTGTCTCTAATCCCCACTTTTGGCAGTTCTCACAGGCAAGATGTGGTGTTCTTGCAGAACAGGCAGTTCTAATGCCATGTTGGCCAGAAAATACTGACTTTTAAACAATCTAAATTTAGAGCCTTCTGAGGATAGCGGTGATGGGTGCAGGTGCCACACTTAGAAACTGGATGCACAGTCAGACAAAGATCTCAGTGCTACAAAGAAAGCAACCCCAGTGGGCTCGGTGGCTCCGAGCTATAATCCCAGCCTCTCCGGAGGCAGACATCAGGAAGATCATGGTTCAAAGCCAGGTTAGGCAAATAGTTCACAAGACCCTATCTCAAAAATATAAGTGGTCTGGTGGAGTGGCTCAAGGTCTAGACCCTGAGTTTAATTAAGCCCCATTACCACACACACACACAAAAAAACCCAACCTGCAATGGGTGATGGAAAGATGGATCTAGTCCATCTTTAAGGCATTCCTTAATGGAATAGAAAATAAGTTCAACAAATTAAGCTGAGAGCTGATTCTTTATGGGGAAAATAGTTAAACAGAAACCAGGAAAGCCTGGTAAAGAACATGTGGTGTTGAAGCCAGGCACTAGTGGCTCACACCTGTAATCCTAGCTATTCAGAAGGCTTTGCTGTTCAAGGCCAGCCCAGGCAAATAGTTCTTGAGACCCTATCTCAAAAAAAAGGTTGGTGGAGTTAGTGGCTCAAGTGGTAGAGCACCTGCCTGGCAACTGTGAGGCTCTGAGTTCAAGTCCCAGTGCCACCAGAAAAAAAAAATGATATGGGTTATTGGGCTGTGGGGCATGGCTCAGTGCAAGACCTGCCTGCAGGCTCCAGACGCAATACCCAGCACTGAAAGGGAAAAAGAAAAGAAAAATAGTGACTAGGAAAGGGAATAGTACCTATCCATGAGAAGAGATTTTAAGCCAAAAAGATTTATGACTCAGTTCTTAGAAGGAGAGATGAAATTGATTATTTTCCAAGAAAAAAATATCAAAGAAGTAGAAAATATGAGTAGCTGAATTGTCATGAAAGGTTGAAAAAGAGCCTGAACTCCAGCTCCCTTCCAAAACCTGAGGCAAAATGGTATGTGTGTCTGTCTGTCCCTTGCTGGGGATCGAACCCAGGACTTTGCACATTCTTTAGGCATAAGTGCTCTACCACTGAGCTGTGCCCCAGCCCAAGACAAAATGATTTTACTGGCTGAATTCTGTCTCCCCTTCAGTAAACATTCAATCTTTTGTTCCACTGTTCCAAAGCCTAGAGAATTCTAGAAGTCACTGCTTTGTGACCTTTGAAACCAACATAGCACGATGCTCATCTCAGACAAGGACAGTACGAAAGCCAGATTAACTGCCTTAGTGCTGAGGGTTAGGACCCTAGGCCAGTCTTACTTAGAAAGTAAGTAAGTAAGATGCAGAAAGCATAAATAACACCTGTTAGCCAGTGTCGTGGTGCATGCTTACAATCTCAGCACTCAGACCCAGCCAGGGAAGACAGCGAGTTCCAGGCCAACCTGTGCTGCATAGCGAAACACTGTCTCAATAAAAACCAGTAAAACCTAAACCATATCTATTTCTCTTGTGTTCTATATTCTACTTTGTAGTATTGCTGAACTTGCAATACAAAGAGACCTTCATAACTTGTAATGAAACCGAGTCACGGGTGCCTTATCGCAGGTGTGTCTGGGTCGTAAGCTGAGGCTTTTCAGACGAGCTGCTGACTGCACACACTGTCCTTGGACGTGAGGTTCTGGTTCCAGGTCTGTGCCAGCCTGCCATGCATGCTGCTGTCCTGGACATGGGTGGTTGAAGAACACGGCTGGATTAGGCGCCTCTTACCAGCAAGTTCACGTGGATTTGCACTATCTGAAGCTCTTCTGATACCTTATCTTGGCCCTGAGTCACTTTTTAATAAAACGGTAGTGATAAAAGGAAAGGGTCATGGGAAAGACGAGCCAGAATTTGTTGCAGTGAAGAACAGCAAAGTGCAATTTCTTCAGAGAAGGCATCGGACCTCCTGTCCTGTTTTGCCTCCCTCTCCAGTCATGCTACGGCCCGTGATGACTTATGTCAATAAGTTCAAGTTTGAATTGGGGTTGGGATCAACAGAGGAAAGGCACGCAACCTGATGCCGATTCCCAGAACAGACTTTGCCTAATGCCAGTCCTCAGTTCTTTGCCTTGGGTATTTGAACACTAGGGACAGTCAGAGAACAGCCAAAGGACTCAGCCTCTTTTAGGGAAGATATGTTTACACCCATTCACGTAGTGGCTTTTGGTGGCCATGCTCTGAGAAGGTCCTGCGATTCGCTCTAGGGTACACTGGTGCCGTGGGAGAAGTGGCCTGTGGCTGAGGCAGCTGAAGCCATCAAGTAGGGGAAAGAATGGATTGTGGCGAGGTTAGATGGTGGCCGTGGAGGCCTTGCGCTCCTGGCCTTTCCTAAGTGCTCGCCTTTGGCTCTGGGGCAGGGAATGGAAGCGGGATCCAGAAGTGGGAGTAGATTCACCGTCTTCCTTCCTTCCTTTCCCTCTCCCTCTCCAGTACCACGCAGAGACCATCAAGAATGTGCGCACAGCCACAGAGAGCTTTGCTTCTGACCCCATCCTCTACCGGCCAGTTGCTGTGGCTCTGGATACGAAAGGGCCTGAGATTCGAACTGGGCTCATCAAGGGCGTGAGTATCCCGGGGAGGAGCGATGGGTGAGGCAGCCCAAAAAAAAAAAAAAAAATGGTACCCAAAGGAGACCTTTTTCATTCTAAAGACCTACTAACACGGCTCTGTGTTTGGGGAACAATTTTTTTGTATCTTTCTCCCCATCACTAAGTAACAAAATTGAAACATTAAAAAGTTTACTAAGAATGAGAGAGAGCATTTATTCACAAGGGAAAAGGTTTTCTTACCACTTTGAGCCGAGATTTGAGCCTTGTTCCTTGCCGGGTGGTGGGGCACTCACACCCTGTGCTGTCTTGTCTGCAGAGCGGCACAGCAGAGGTGGAGCTGAAGAAGGGAGCCACACTCAAGATCACTCTGGACAACGCCTACATGGAAAAGTGTGATGAGAACATCCTGTGGCTGGACTATGTGTGGACGTTGGGGATGGGCCCGTTCTAAAACCATCTACATCTCTAAAATGCACTGGTACAAGGAAGATGGGAAGCTTGGATGGCTGGCGGTGAGGTTGAATGTCTGTTTTCAGGAGTTCCTTACAACTCAGACATCCTCAAAAACAGACCAGCCCTTACCAGGCACTTGTGGCTCATGCCTATAATCCTCGTTACTTGAGAGACTGAGATTGGGAGGATCGAGGTTCCAGACCAGCCCAGGAAACTAGTTTGTGAGATCCCCATCTCCAAAATATTCATAGCAAAATGGAGTGAAACAGAGTAGCCCAGCCTGATTCTACTCTTAGCTCTCTATTTGCTTGTTTCTGTCTCCATCCCTCAATGGGAAATGTACAGGACTTCTGTGTGCTGAGGAATGATAACTGAAAGTACCCATGCTGAACAATGTACATGTTTAACTCTTCAAACAGCTTTATGAGTAATTATTATTTGCAGGTGAGGAGACTGTGGTGCACAGTTAGTGGAATTGGGGTTTGACCTCTGGTTCCATGGGTCCAGTGCCCCATGTGCTACCTCCCTGTCCACTGAACTGGGGCAGATGGGAAGAGGCCCTGCTGCTTGTCTCTTGCCTTTGAGTTGCACTGGGCCCTCATTGCTTTGCCTCTCCTCCCCACTCCACTTCATACAGGTGCTGACTTCCTGGTGACAGAAGTGGAAAATGGTGGCTCCTTGGGCAGCAAGAAGGGTGTGAACCTTCCTGGGGCTGCTGTGGACCTCCCAGCTGTGTCAGAAAAGGACATCCAGGATCTGAAGTTCGGGGTGGAGCAGGACGTAGACATGGTGTTTGCATCCTTCATCCGCAAAGCGGCTGATGTCCATGAGGTTAGGAAGGTCCTGGGAGAGAAAGGAAAGAACATCAAGATTATCAGCAAAATTGAGAATCATGAAGGAGTTCGGAGGTACGAGCACAGTCCCTGCTTCGGTCCCCACAAAAGGCGAGGTGTGTCCTGTGAATGCCTGATTCCTGGACCTGGCCACTGCCCAGCAGAATGCAGCCTCCAGAGTCTTGTCCAGACCCACTGAGTCAGTGTCTTAGGGGTGAGGAAGGCATTGGTATTTAAAACACAAATCCAAAGAAAGCTTCGCAGGGGAGCAAGAAACCAGAAGCTCAACATTGTCCCCTGGAGAGAAGACTGGGCCACAGCTCTGTTCTTGAGCAGGGACAGCACCAGTGTGAGCAAGAATGGGGACACCAAGGAGAAGGGACAGCTGGCTCTTCAGAAGGGGCCCTTCTGGCTCTTACCTTGGGAGCCTTGTGGAAATTGGGGACCATAGTCAGCTGAAGCTTGTGACCTCCTGGTCTTTTTCTAGAAACAAGCTGAGCTGGCCCAGTGATCAGACTAGCTCTGGAACAGTCCCTTCCACTCCCCAGGAAGGCATATGGGGCTCTTCAGGTGCACATGGCCCAGTTCAGCTTAACTGCCTCCCCAGTACTCAACAGGCAGAACCAAAATAGGATGGGCAGCTTGGTGACATCTCCTCCTCCTGGATCTCCTCCTAGAAATACAGCTCGGCACTGCTATGGCCATAGACCCCAGAAGGCCAGGGGCCTGGGGGGAGCAACCCAGTATACCCACTGTGGTGGTCTTACTTGTCTAAGCATTGAGATCTTTGTACCAAGCAGTTTTGGATCCTTCCCTTTGCTATCCTGATAACCCATGGCTGCTAGTTGACCTTGACTTCACCAAGGTGAAGGGTGCCACCTCAAGGGACAGCTCTCAAATGTCCTTGGCTAAGTGAGGCCATGGACCTTTTGTGTCAGAAGCAAGTCAGTGGCCTTAGGTTCACTTTCTTCCCTTGGAAGTGTTGATTAGAGGGTAGAGAGTTGATTAGTTGTATGGAGATGCCTAATGAGGGCCTCGTAACATACAAATGGGGAGAAATGAGCCCATGGGATGTTGGAGAGACCAGGGCTCCTACCCTTCTTTCCCTCCATCGTACTGTTGAAGAGCTCAGCAGGCAAGATTTTTGGGTCACTCCGAGTGGCTTAGGTCACTGCGATGCCTCACCACCTCCAGGCACCCCTGGTGATGCAGTACAGGGACATCCAAGCTAGGGAATTCCTGGAAAGCTTCATTTCTGTCACTGTTCTTGTGGCCTCTGTTCGATGTAACCCTTCTTTCTCTTCCCCACCTTCCTGTCAGGTTTGATGAGATCCTGGAGGCCAGCGATGGGATCATGGTGGCTCGGGGTGATCTAGGCATTGAGATTCCTGCAGAGAAGGTCTTCCTTGCTCAGAAGATGATGATAGGACGCTGCAACCGGGCTGGGAAGCCTGTCATCTGTGCCACGCAGGCACGTGCCCCTTCCGCATCCTCCCGTGCACCCACATAGGAAGGCCTGGGGCTACGTGGTCTCTTGCCATGGACCCTGTCCCGCGGAACACATACCTCCCTTTCGCCCCATGTACCCACACGTTGTTGGGGAGATCCACATGCAATTGCTTGTCTGAAGACAACTCAGGCCATGTCTGACCAGTGCTCTGTCCCTCCCAGATGCTGGAGAGCATGATCAAGAAGCCCCGCCCCACCCGAGCCGAGGGCAGTGATGTGGCAAATGCTGTCCTCGACGGAGCCGACTGCATCATGCTGTCTGGAGAGACGGCCAAAGGGGACTACCCCCTGGAGGCTGTCCGCATGCAGCACCTGGTGAGTCGTCAGGGCCTGCCCCATGCCCTGGGCTGCAGGCTGGACTGAAGCCTGGCATGGGAATTTTTAGGTTTCTGCAGCCTTTCACCTCCAAGTCACACCAAGAGTGAGGCGGCGTGTAGAAAGGAGGGTGCCCCTGCCCACACTCCCTCCACTTCTGCCTCCTGCTTGGTGGCATCCTCTTCACACAATCTACTGTGGCTTCAGTACGCTGCTGTACGGGTTGTCTTGTGTCTCTTCCTCTGGACAGTCCAAAGGGCCTGGGTACCCCTGTCCTATTTTGAAAAAGGCTAAGGGCTCCTGCTCCCACCTGTCCCACAAACTTGACTGCCCCCATGGGCCTCAGGGGGCCTGCACCCCAGGCCATTGCCTGCACTGAGCTGCCTTAGCTGGCTGGCCTTGCATGGTGCCTGCAGCTTGGGACCTGCCTTGCTGTGCCAGACCACTAAGTGGTGCTAAAGGACTAGCAGCAGGCCTACAAGTAGAGCTGGAGTTAAGGGCGCTGGAATCTGGGAGCATCCTGGTGACTTTCTTTGTTCGCGCTCCCTAGGAGTGAGTTCTAACCATGTCCCTCTGCCTGACCACCTCTTGGGGACAAGGCCCAGTGTGTTCCTGTCTTAGAACTTCCTGAAGAGTTAACTCTAACTCTTCCACCTGACAAAAAGAGTGCCATGTTTGAACTGTCAGTTTCTATTCCCTTGCCAGCCAGCAGAGTACTTCAGCCCTTTGTGTGACATGAGCTTCCACAAACCCCCAAATTTACCATAACCAAGAGGGGAAAAAAAAAAGGAAAAGGAAAGCCTGCTCTAGCCTTGGCGTCTTCCTTTCCTCCTTTACTGCCTGTGTGTCTTGTTAGTGGGCTGGAGTGAATTCTGCAGTGAGCTGAGTTCTTAGCTGTGTAGCAGTATCTCCGGGCTGTTGTCAGCTGTCCCCTTCCCAGGCCCTGGTTGTCACATCACCCTGAGTGTGTGACAGGTTTACTGTTCTCATCCATACTCTTGGCTCATTCTCACAGCTGCCCCATGGTAGGAAGGTGCTCGCTCTCCCAGGAAGCCATGTGCCTTCAACCAGTCACCTGTAGAGCAGTCACCTAAGTCTTTCCCCATGTCCCCCCACTCTATTTGACTTGCTTAATTGTGTGACCTCCTGGCGTCAGAGGTGGGAAGTGGCTGACCTTGACTTGATTTACTGAGCTGTGTAACCACATAGACTGTGAGGACTTTAATTTCTATGGGCAAATCATTTGACCTCTCAAGACCTGATCCTCAAGTGGATTAGATGAGGCGGACTTAAGTACAGCCTTTGGCCTCACTTGTAGAGGAGGGTCACATGGTGATAAGCCTAGGTTCGAGCCCAGGTCTGCTGACTGCAAAGCCAGCCCTCTGTCCTGTAGCATCATGGTCTCTCTAGCAGCAGTTAAGGACAGGTCTCCATTGGGGTCTGCAGTGGGGTCAGAGATTGAACTTAGGTTCCGAATTCTGCATCTTTTCTCCCATGTCCCCATCTTTCCTATGAACAACGCCTTACACCTGCAAGGCGGGAATTGCATGGTACTGCTCCAAGATAAGTTATGTGGTCTGGGCCAGGCTGTAGCTGCTCTCCAGGGGCACAAGCCTCTCTGTCTGTCATTGGCTAACACTGCAGACAGCTTGTCCACTTAACTACTTCCTGTGTCTAACTGATATGGTCATGGTCCATGACCCATAACCCAGAGCTAGGCAGTACCGGGTCTGGTTCTGTTTCTGTTCATCCCCTGTCTTCTGGGCTGCATGCATTCTTACAAAAACAATATTAAGAGCCTAGTAAGTTCTGCAACACATCTGCTCACACTGCCAAATTAACAAGCTCAGTCTTCCTCATTTGTCGCTTACTAAGATGCTGGAAAATGCACTGTAATCCCCTAAAGCTTAAGTTTTCTTTCTAATTCCTGGTCTTCTCTGAGCAGGGGGGTTTGTAAATAACTGAGTGCCTTTCTCGTGACTGTTTTAATAATTCAGTTTTAATTTTAATCGATGCCTTATTAAACATGCCCACGTGCTTCCCCAGGCTTCTGTCTCTTCACATGGCTGTTCACTGAGCCCTTCACAAGTCAGCCAGTTCCTGCTTAGCAGTCAGGCTGCACAGCATTGGCCTTGAACCCAGCTTTCCAGTGCTGCTCCGTCTGCTTCCAAAGCAGCTATGGCAAGGGCTCCCAGTGCCCTGTGCGTGAGGCCGAGGGAACCCTCGCTCTGTGTGTGCATGGAAGCCGGGCATCCTGCTGCTGCCAGACAGCCATGTGGGGAGGGAGGGCTGTGCCTTCTTGTGAGCTGCATCACGAGGCAGCGTGGTGAAGTCCTCTGCTGGGAAGTGGCATGGGCCCAGCCTGGGCACGTTTCTGTGCCAAGGTGCTAGAGCCTACCACATTTTGTCCCCTTCCACCTCAGCCCCTATCAAAAGAGCAAATCCATCCAACATGGAAGAACTCGTTCCCTGTATTAGAAGGGAAGTAGCAGCAATCTCAGCACCAAGAAAATTTCCCACGCCTCCCCAGAGCATGTGGCTTTTCACCACCCTGCCTCAGCGTCTGCCTGAAGGACATTTAAGCTAAGGGTACCTTCTCTGATTAATTCCCCATTCTGTCTTTCCATGTGTTGTCTTTTTTCCTTCTTCATCCCTCCTCCTCGCTCCCCTCCCCTAACCTTACAGATAGCTCGGGAGGCTGAGGCAGCCATGTTCCACCGCAAGCTGTTTGAAGAACTGGTGCGAGCCTCCAGTCACTCCACAGATCCCATGGAGGCCATGGCCATGGGCAGCGTGCAGGCTTCTTATAAGTGTTTAGCGGCAGCTTTGGTAGTTCTGACGGAGTCTGGCAGGTAGGGCCCCAAGGGCAGGTATCACTGTTAGGATAACCAGCTTCTCGCTCCAGCTGCTCCAGAAGAAGTCGGCCAGCCCTGCATCTGGGCCCAGGCAGGAAGGCAGCCAGGGAGGTCATGATAGGGCAGGACCAAGGGGTCCTCCGCTCAGTGGGTACAGTGGAAGTCACAGGCACCTGGTATAGGGCAGTTCCTGTGGAGTTTTGCTCTTGCTCTGCTCAGACCTCCAGTTACCAGGCTTCTCCTTGCTGTCGTGCCCGGGGACGGGTTCCTTCCCAGCTGTCTGTGACTCCTCCTCTCCCTCTCCCTTTGTGACCCAGCTCTGACAAAGTTCTGTCCCCCCCTCTCGTCCCTCTGGACGGATGTCGCTCCCCTAGATTGCCCGTGAGGCAGAGGCTGCTATCTACCACTTGCAATTATTTGAGGAACTCCGCCGCCTAGCACCCATTACCAGTGACCCCACAGAAGCCGCCGCCGTGGGCGCCGTGGAGGCCTCCTTCAAGTGCTGCAGTGGGGCCATTATCGTCCTCACCAAGTCTGGCAGGTAGGAGGCGGCCGTGGGTGCTGTCCCTGGGAATGCCGTGCTCTGCGGCACCTGTCCTTGGGGGTCCTGGAGCAATGCGTTGAATGGTGCTCAGATGGCACGGGGCCAAGGTAAGACCCCTCTGGCTGCCACCAGGACCCTGCAGGGAAGGAGCTCCCTGGCCCCCCTCAGGCCAGGATCCCAGAGTGGGCAGATCTCTCTCTTCCCTGGTCCTGAAGGACTCCAAGGATATGTACAGGGCTTAGACCATTTGGATCCAGCGCAGGTTTACAGCCTGATGGTGAACTGGAAACAGACGGCCAGTGTTGCTTATTCTAGTCATGTACTCTCAAAAAACTTAGTACGGAAAGAGAGGCTGCAAGTTCCCTTTCAAAGCAGCTCTGAGCTTGGTGAGTAGACACCACGAGTAAAGCTCACCCTCCTGAGCCAGAGTTTATGAACGAGTAGTTCGTGGTGGCAGACATGTCTATGGAGTGTTGTGGGGACTTGATCACTTTATGAATCTTTTTGCCATGGATATGTGGACACGACAACAAGTGGGCAACAAGACCGTATCATAATGGTGGTGAGTAATATGAGGAAATAGTGTCATCACGTTAGAAGCCTTGGAATGAGTTTAAACAATGACTCTTCAGCAGAGGAATCCTATGAGCTCCTCGCCAAAGGGCCTTCTTTACTATGGAGTAAAAATTGGGTCACGTACATTCATATTAAACTTTTTGTTAAATACACTTTTGACTGGGCACCAGTGGCTCACACCTGTAATCCTAGCGACTCAGGAGACAGAGATCAGGAGGATCTGGTTTGAAGCCAGCCCCGTCAAATAGTTCGTGAGACCCTGTCTCGAAAATATGTAACACAAAAAAGGGGTTGGTGGAGTGGCTTAAGTGGTAGAGTGCCTTTCTAGCAAGCCTGAGGCCCTGAGTTCAAACCCCAGTACAGCCAAAAAATAAAAAAATAAACTTTTGTAAGAATCAGAACTTCAGTTTGGAAATTAATGCTCCTGTTCAGTGCACTGGTCCCCGTCTGTCCCTAAAGACGTGTGGATCTGGCCCAGAAAAGGTTTCTTCACCATCTTCCTGACATTTTCAGGCCATGCAGTTAGACTGAGGACGGCCTGACCTGTGCTTGGCCAGAGCCAAGTGATCCTTCCTAGCCCAGGTCACTGGCTTATCAGCCCCAGCTCTCGTCGTGGTCTGGGAATGCTCCTTGGCTCAGCCCACAGGACGGCGAGGGCTTTCTGAAAGGGTGAAGAAGAGAGGAGAGGCAGGCATTGCTCACATACTAAGTGAAGCCAGGTGGGCTCCCTGTAGTGCAGCCCCCCTGGTCTGCTGATTCCCTCAGCACACACCTCAGGCCTCCCATTCTTGGCTGCTCAGCTCCAGCCATTAGGGTTGACCTTTTTGCAAAGGTCAGCCCCTGCTACTTGGCTATTTTTACCTCTAGTCTTCTGGGATTTCACTGGCTGGGTCAGCAGCTGCTCCCTGCCAAAGGCGGTACAGAGGCCCTGAAGCAGAGTGGTGTTCTCTGCTGTGATGTGGCCTGTTTTCCTGACCCCAGAGCTTACCTGCTGGGGCCCAGCAAGCCCCTCCCCAGCTGCAGAGACACACCTGCAGCTCTACACAGTATCAGTGTTCAAGGAAGCATAGGGACCTAAGGAGTCCCTGCCTTCGAGAGTAGCACCCTGGTTTCTAAAATCTTACAAATTCTAAGATCGTGTGTGACTGGGGATCTAGAGCTCAGGTGCTGGCATTGACCCAAGTGCCATTTGGGTGAGGAGAGAGCACAGCACTTGTGCAACCTTGCTTCTCGGCCACCAGGGGGCTGGTTGCTCTGCCCTTGCCCTTTGTAGATGTCCAGAGTCAGAAGCTAGTCAGGTGCTGCTTGGCTTGTGGCTGTTGCTGGCAGCCAGAGGAATAGGTGCGGCAAGGTTGGGCCAGGGCTGCCTCTCTGATCCAGATGGAAGAGTTCAGGGTGTGGAAAGGGTTCTGCCCACCAAGGGTCAGGATGGCCAGCTGATGGGCCATGAGAGAGAGGTCAAATGGTGGCAAAGCAAGCTGTGCAGGCTCGTGATGTTATGTTGTCCTAGCTCCCTACTCACGGGGGGTGCCGAGGAGCAGGTGTTAATGGCCATGGCCTGTGGCACAGTGAGCTAATTCCTTGAATTCCTGTTTAAAGGTCTCTTCTCCCTGTCCCCATCCCATCTCAGGTCTGCTCATCAGGTGGCCAGGTACCGCCCACGTGCTCCCATCATTGCTGTGACACGCAATCCCCAGACCGCTCGCCAGGCCCACCTGTACCGTGGCATCTTCCCTGTGTTGTGTAAGGACCCAGTCCAGGAGGCCTGGGCTGAGGACGTGGACCTCCGGGTGAACTTGGCCATGAATGTTGGTATGTAGCTGGGGGGAGCAAAGGCCAGGGCCTGGAGGGGTAGAGGTGCACAGCTGGTGCCTCTATACCTGGGTCTCAATTCCAGGTCACCTTCCAGAGAGCTCTGTATACCCACATATACCTCAGAGACACTGAGGCCCACAAGGCCACATACCCCAGAATGACTCCAAGCCAAACAGGGCTCTAATTTGTCCCCTGAGGACTAACCCTGAAAGTTGGGGGAATAGAAAGGGGGGACATGCAGACCCAGCCTTTCTGAAATAAAAGACCAAGCTGGTCACTCCTCACCCTCACGGGAAGGTTTTCTCTGGCTGCTCCCCTGTTCAGAAGCCTTCGGCTGAGCCCAGGGGGAGAGAAGTCCCTGAGCGAATCAGTCGTTCTCCGCGCCCAGTCTGGGGTCCAAAGCAAAATGAACTGTCCGTCTCTGGCACCTGCTCATTACTGAGGTTTTTTTTTTAAATACAAATTGGCTAGAGACACTCACTGTGGCACATTGTGTACTAATATCATGGGATGAGAGGAAATAGCTAGCTCCGACCTTGAAGGCTATCAACCCTCCAGGGCATAAAACTGAGTGGTGTCCCATCAGTTTTGTATCTGCCATCTGGGATCTCAGCCTCATCCCCTTTGCCTGGGCTGTGAGGCTGGCGCCACCTTGTGGTATGAGGAAGAAATGGCCAGCCAGACAGACCTGCCTGCTGCCTCCCTGGGGGCTTTTGGTGGGGCTGTGGGGCAGTTGCCCAGGTGTGTGCCTGCCTGGGTTTGGCTTTTTCTCACCAACCTCTCTTCTCTGACAGGTAAGGCTCGAGGTTTCTTCAAGTCAGGAGATGTGGTCATTGTGCTGACTGGCTGGCGCCCTGGCTCCGGCTTCACCAACACCATGCGTGTTGTCCCTGTGCCATGATGGCCCCCAGAACCTCTCCTCCACAGCCCCATCCCATCCCCTTTCCCCAACCCAACCATTCAGCCAGCAACGCTTGTAGTGCTCGCTCTGGGCTGCAGGGTCGCACCGGTAGGCTGGGACCCCAGAGAAGATCAGTGTCTCTTTGAACATGCCTGGCTTTTAGACCCTGCTTGAGGGGGCTCACCCAGAGCCTAGCTGCCCATCATGTGGGCCTACCTAGGCAAGGGACAAAGTTGTTGATCGCAAGAGGGCGACAGCGACTCCTTGGTGCCTTTGTTCAGTTCTGTAGAAAGGATACTCCCAGCCCTAGCCCGGAGTCAGGAGGCCACAGCAAGAGCAGGGCTTAAGAGCCTGGGACGGGACAGTGATTTCCAGTGTAGACAGACCCTGGCCCTTACTTGCTTCCCTAGCCCTCTTGGCCTCCCCACTCCACCTTGTGCACTGTGCTCTTGTTCTGCACTCAACTGTCGCCGCAGACAAACACTCCACCCTCCACCTTGGCTTCCCCAGGACTGCAGGTCTGCACGCCTGTTGCTATAGAGCCTACCAGTATGTCAATAAACAGAGCTAAAGCACCTGTTTCCTCTCTTTTCTGTTGCGGGGGATGGGGGGCTGAACCTTGCCCTCCAAGCAGGTGAAAATGGCAACAGCCTATGCCCTGTGCTGGGTACTGTGACCACCTGCTGTCCCGTCCCATCTGTGGGGTGCAGAGGTGTAGCTGAGCATGGTGGGCTCTAGGTTACTCTCCAGCACTGGGGAGGCTGGCGAGTGGGTAAAGCTCCCTCAACTGGGCGATACCTTTTCTGAGCCAAAGATGGGAGGGGGCAGGGACAAAGGTCCCTTTGCTTGTATTCTGGTGGGTAAACCCCTGGCCCTTGCCAGCCCTCCAGTCTGGACCTTGTGCAGGAGGGGGTCCCTTGAGGGAGCTGGACAGTGAATCCCTGCTGTGGTCTGAGATGGTTGTGGACCGAGGCTCCCTTGGGGGTTCCCCCTGTTCCCCAATGCCCTCCCTCCACAATGCAGCAGGACTGGGGCTTGAGGAGAGGGTTGGGAATGGCGGGGAGGCTGGCCTGTGCCTTTCCCCTCTCCTGACCACTCCCAAGTGACCTGGTGGGGGTACAGATGGGCCTGCAGAAAGAAAGGGCCTTTGGGTCCATTCTTACTGCCCAGTTCATCCCAGTGCATGGCCACAGCCCCACCCCTCCCCGAACTCTAAGGCCAGTGCTTCCCCATCCTCCGCCTGGCCATCTTCAGCCCCAAAGCGGCCTCCACCTGGCACAATTAACATTTCTTCCAAATCTGATGTCTGAGTCGTTAAGACACAGCTCAGGGTGGGCTCTGTTCCTCCGTTCCCGCGGAGGACACCGCGCTCCAAGATTAAGACGGAAAAGGAAGGGCCCAGAGGGGACACAAGACCCTCTGACGTGAGGGGCAGCAGGTGCAGACCCAGGCCGGAGCTTCCCGGACCTTGCGGGTCTAGAGCACCCAGAGCGAAAATCTGCGCGGCGCTCCCTGCCCCACCTGGGCGGTCTGGAGTGGGGAAGGATCAGCCAATGGGCTGGGCCCGTCCCGCGCGGGCAGCCAATGGGCGGGCGGGGGCGGGCTCTGCGGGGTGGGCGGGGTCCCGCGAGGCTCCAAGTGGAGCGCGGTTGGGGGCGCTGCGTCCAGGCGCTGCGATGACCGCTCTGAGCCCGAGCGAGGCAGTCGAGGCGGGCAGGTAAGGGCTTAGGGTCGGGGGTCGGGGATCGAGCTCCCCACAGGCCGCGGCCAGGGCCCGCGGGTGCCGCGCGGAGCAGGACAGCTCCGAGTGCCCAGCCCGCCCGCTGGACTCTTCCCGGCTGCGGGACTCCGGTCTGCGCCCCCGGGATTGGGGAAGGAGGATACGAAGAGGGGTGCGCGGGGTCACGTGGGGCGGGATGGTTCTCAGGAGTCCAGATCTGGAGGCTGGGGGCTCTGCCTCGTGGGCATCAGGACAGTGGAGGGCATCGCCCTGGGTTCGCTTTCATGGTCCACCACCGCCCCATCCGCCGTTCATTCATTCGTGTCTTCATGCATTCATTCCCGCCATATAGACCCCCCCCCAGTCCTGATCGCCCCCCACCCCTCGAGGGCAGCGCGTCCCTGCTGGCCCCTTTGCTCTCCCAGCCCGATCTGCACTTGCCACGGTGCGCGGAGCTGTCCCGGCACGAATCGGCCGCACCCGTGCGCCAGGCCCGGGCGGGCTGGGGCGAGTCGCCAAGTCTAGAGATCTGGTCCAAAGTCGACCTGAAAGAAAAGTCTTGGCAAGCTGAGAAGAGTAAGGGGGCGGGAGACGGACAGGAGGTGGCATTGCAAGTGACATCAAGAATCTTGGCTTCTGCTTCTTGAAGTTCTGGGAGGCTCTGGGGATGAAATTATAGGGGCCCCTCACGGAAGAAGCTGTGAGATCCTGCCTCCGGTCCAGGTCCCAAGTCCATACAGTCTGAGTTGTGGGGGCCAAGCCCGTCATCGTGGTCAGCTAACATGGAGGCAAGGGAGGCAAATGGACGATCCTGTGCCCGAGTCAGCCCTGGGTACAAGGGTGTGCATCTGATGGAAACTCAGGCCCCTCGCCTTGTCCGCAAGCTGGCAGCTGGCTCTAAACCAGCGTCATTGCCCCGCTGGCGTTTGCCTGCTTCCTCCCTCACCACAAAGGTGCCCCCTCCTTGCAGAGGCTCCAAAGCAGTGAGAGAGGATGGTCTGACCACCTGGGATTGTCCAACCCCCACATCCCTGTCCCCAACTGACTCTGAATTCAGATCTTTTCAGAGTGAAGAGAAGCCTGCCAGGAGACGTGAGTAGAGGGTGTTTCCTGTCCTGCGGTGGAGACCACAGCCCCTCCGGTCAGGCCTTCGGGAGTCCAGACCTGTCCAGACTGCAGACACTTTTAGGTTGAAGGTTGCAATTTGGCTGACACTACGGGTGGCCTCAGTGGGCATCCCTGGGCCAAGGGGCAGGGCCGGAGGGCAAAGCTGACAGAGGCCCCTGAGCGTCTAGAAGAATGTCTGACACCCATGGAGTTTCTCCCCGCCTCCCCTGCCAGGATTTTCTTTGTTTCTTCTTCTTTTCTTTGTTTTTTTTTCCTTGTGGGTACTGGGATATGAACTCAGGGCGTCATGCCACCTGAAATCCTCCCCCCCCCCCCCAGAAGTTCTAAGTAGCTCCCCAGGGTCCCCATGCCTTGATGTTGTTTCAAATTCGGAGTGTGGCTGAGTCCTCAAAGCTTTAGCGCAGATACAAAGGCCTGGATGCGAATAATTCAGCCACCTAGGTCTCCCCGGCCCCCTGGGTTGAGGTCAGTGGTCAGGTCCAAGATGAAGTGGTTTGTGCCGCCTCCTGGGAGCCCTTCCATGATCCTCAAAGCTTTAGCGCAGAATACAAAGGCCTGGATGCTAATTAATTCAGCCACCTAGGGTCTCCCCGGCCCCCTGGGGTTGAGGTCAGTGGTTCAGGTCCAAGATGAAGTGGTTTGTGCCGCCTCCTGGGAGCCCTTCCATGAGCTGCTAGCCCTTGGGCGGCCCCACCCAGCCCTTAAGCTGGTTAAGCCTTGGCTTTGGGGTTGAATGACAGCTTCTCTCCGGGAGTCAGAAGTTGTTCAAGCCTGGCTCAGTTGTTCTGTGAGAGCACAGATCACGTCCCTCTGGGCCTGCTTGACCACCAGATAAGGAAGGGGCCTTCCCCACGCAGCTGTTCAGTGAGGCGGCGGACAGTTACGTCCACTTCTGAAGACTTTTCCATGCTGTCCATGGAAAGCCCGGGAAGCGGAGAAGGGAGCAGCGCTCCGCTTCTGCGTCTAGTGGCCGAGACGGGACGGACAGTCCCCCAGTTCTGCGGCCATCTCTGCTGCGAGTGGAGGTTGCACATGAAGTCAGCACCACTGGGCCGCTCTTCACCTGGGCAGTGGCGCATCCCCCTGCCATCGCCTGTTAGCGCCAACCTTTGAGCTTTGATGAGTGCTTTGATGAGTTCCCCAGGTGTTTACTGATGGAGCGGGGAAGGGGGGGCAGAACCCCTGGCCTCGAGTTTCTGTGTAATGAAGGAGGTGAGCGGAGGTGCACCCCACAGCGCAGAGTAAAAGGAAAGAAAGCATTGTTTTCAAGGAGAGAGACCACCAGGTGCTGGTGGCTCACACCTATAATCCTAGCTACTTGGGAGGCTGAGATCAGGAGGATCGTGGTTCAAGGCCAGGCCAGGAAAATAGATCAAGAAACACTGTATTGAAAATACCCAACACAGCCAGGCACTGGCGGCTCATGCCTATAATCCTAGCTATGTGAGAGACTGAGATCCGGGTAAGTGTGCTTTGAGGCCAGCCTGGGCAAAAATAAGTTCTAGAGGCCCCATCTCCAGAATAACCAGAGCAAAATCGACTGGCAGAGTGGCTCAAGCCATAGGAGCACCTGTCTAGCAAGTGTGAGACCCTGGATTCAAACCCCAGGGCCACAAAAAATAAATAAATAAATAAATAAATAAATAAAGAATAGAAATCTCACAAGGCAAAATGTTTCTCCTTCTTCCTCCTAAATCCACAGATTTACTCATTGAAAAATGCTTGGTGAGAGTTTAGGACTGGAGTATTTTAATGACCCATGGCACTAGAGCCAGCCTTTAAATCCTCCCCCTAAAGTAGTGTTTCCTTGATGGTGTTTAAAACCCATTGTTATTTTTTTTAAGCAGACATTAGTTTTTAGCTGACACTATTTTTTTTTTTGACAGCACTGGGATTTGAACTCAGGGCCTCACACTTGCTAGGCAGCTGATCTACACTTAATCTATAACCCCTACCCTTTTTACTCTGGTTATTTTTGAGACAGGGTCTCCCTTTATGCCCAGCTGGCCTAAATGGTGATTCTCCTATTTGTACTTCCTCACATAGCTGGGATGACAGATATGTACCACTGCACTCAGCCATTGCTTGAGATAGGGTCTTGCAAACTTTTGGCCCTGGACTGGCCTCCAACCATGATCCTCTCAATCTCAGCCTCCCAAGTAGCTAGGATTACAGCCCCTATCCATTGGCACTGTGTGTGTGTGTGTACATTGGCAGCATTGGGTTTGAACTCAGGGCCTCTCTCTTGCTAGATAGGCGCTCTTACTGCTTGAGTCACTCCACCAGCCCTTTTTGGGGATGGGTTTTTTGAGACAGGGTCTCAGGACCTATTTGCCTGGGCTGGCTTCAAACCATGATCCTTCTGATCTCTGCCTCCTGCGTAGCTAGGATTACAGGCATAAGCCACTGGCACCCAACCCTAAAATGACTTTTGAATTTTGAAGGACTACTCAGAAATTGTTTTAAAATAAACCAGCAACACTACCTCAGAATTGAAATTCATAGGACATCCTTCATTACCAAATTGAAACTGTTTGTACTTTTAATTGCTAACTCTGTTTATTGTGGAAAGTTAGATCTATACAAAGCAAGGGACAGCAGTGTAGTGAGTGGCTTGTGCCTGTCACCCAGTTTCAACAATGATGACATCATGAGCCAAACTCAGCTGCTCTACACCTCCCTTTTCCCTTTCTCCCAGATATTATTTCATCCACAAATATTTCAGTGTGACCGAAAAAGATAAGA